TTCTTCCAAGCCTCTTTTTCATATTTTATTTTTGTGCCTCCCAATCAGTATTGATTCCTGATGATGGTCTGGACTAGAAACGTAAAATCAAGTTATTTCCCAACACATCTGAGGTAATGGGATAGCACTCCCAAGGCAGAATTGCTGCACAATTTGGGAGTCCTCCTGGACCCATGGCACCTCCCAAATGGACTAGTCTTGTACACAGTATATGGCTCTGCCATTGGCAATTCAGAAATTACAACTGGTCCAAAACATAGGAGCTTTGATATTTATAGATGTACCATGATCGTGGTTACAACATAATCACTGCTTTGCAAGTAGCGCTTGCTTATCAACTTCTGACTGCAATTCAAAATCCTGGATTTCACTGATAAAGCCCTTTAAGGCACATGGCTGGGTTAATTAATAAACTAGCTATTATGGATAGCTGCCCATTCCACAAAATCCAACAGAAAGGGCGTGCTTTGAGTCCCTTCAAAGAAATAATACTACTTAAAGGATGTATGAGGAAGAATTATAGAGGCACACATTCCTACGCTTTGGAACAGCATGTCCCGAGATCTGGACAGCTCTGGATTTCTGTATGACTTTAAAAACCTGATATACTCACACACAAGTAAGATGTTGGATGAGCCGTTTGAAGAAAAAAAAAGTTTAGGATGTTGAGATGTTTTTGTGCCATTTTATATTGCATGGTGTGGTCCTATAATTGTTGTTCACTTACACTTATGTTAGCCAGCCAGAGTTGCATTTGTAAGTTGGGCAGCCATATAAAAATTACATATAAATGTTTTTTTGTTAAATTAACAAGTGAATAAACAAGTGAATAAATGACAGATATATTACCTCAGTTAGCCCCAGCACACGAGCACCAGAAAGATCCAGGTCACTGATGGTAGTAACAGTGACCGTATGGTTTGGGTGATCATAGCTCACTGATTCTGTTTGAGATGTCACTAAATGTTCCAACTCATCAGCTTCCTCTGAGAAAATGAAATAAGTACAGTTATAATTTAAATGAACACCTTAGGGAAGTTTAGACCTTTCAGCCCTGTTACCATTACATTCTATTATTCCTTTATATATGTGGGTTTAATGACAATTGATGTCTCCATCTCCAAACTTTAAATTGGGATATTTTAAGAGATGATAATCCTCGAAGCAGGTTCTCTTGTTATCTGTATTTGGCACATAATCATCATTATTTACTACACAAATCCGCCAATGATGGGCAAGCTTCTTCAAGCTATCAAAAAAAAAAGAAAAAAAAGAACTCCACTTCTCTTTAGCCATATCCTGACAACCTTCTTTACCTTTTCATTTGCATCATTTACCCAGGAAAATATTCTTTCATTTTTTAATATACTTTCTACAAAGTTATTATAACAATAAAATCTACTACAAATATACATAAAGAGAAGAGAAAGAGTTAATAATGTAAGGAAAAAAGAGAAAAGTAGGAATAATAAAAAAGCCTTCCAACCTGCACTACAAATTTAAACAAATTTAGTGATTCTTTACCACTTACAATCATTTCTACATCTCACAATCACATTGCTTATCTATAAATAAATCCATAAAACATCATCTTTTCAGTCCTGGGGTCAGCAGAAAGTCAATACAGTAATCATTCTTCTAAAGACAGAAAGCTTATGCAGTGCCAACAAAAAATCAGCACTGAATCTGTCTCCTTCCAACTGTTTGTAATTAACAGCAGTGGCCTAAACATAGTCATACTGAGTAATATAAAAAACAACACTTAGTTAAAGTGTGATAAAGATTATAGATTAGAAAAACTAATTCATTAACAGAGATCAAATGAAGATATGGTTTGAAACATGTTTCATATTCATTTAACCTTATTTTAGAGAAGTTGTATTGATCAGCCTTCTGTTCTCTAAGTTGTCATCTTATACATTTTGGGATTCCAGGCTAGCTTACATGTTCAACTACAACACTTACCTAAGGCTTCTTCTCTCTCCTTCAACATCTTCATGTACTCTTTATGTCTCTACAAGAGAAGCAAACAAATAGATATTCCAAGAGTTTTCAGATCTAGTTAAAATTCTGCCAATGAGAAGTCATGCACTATTTCTTCCTACTATATACTGTGGTAGTATAGTATTTGGTAGAATTGTGGTACTGTGTGGTATTTCTATATCAACTTACCAAAATCAATTTACTCTAAAATATTACACTATCAAAGCCTATGAGATCTGGAATCTTATCCCTTAAAATAAGACAATTTAAACCATGGTGCCCTAAGAAAAGCTCTCTTTTTCCCCACAAAATCTTTGCCTCAAAATATGAGCCATACTTGGAGGTACTCCATTTTATTTCCAAGCACATACACTATATTGCCAAAAGTATTTGCTCACCCATCCACATAATCAGACTCAGTTGTGAGCGAACACTTTTGGCAATATAGTGTATATCTCTGTTGTTTAATCAAAAGTAAGGTCAGTTTAATTAGGTAATACTCTGGTATAACCTATTTAGAGTGGAGTCAAAATGGTGAGGGCAAGCTTGCTAAAATAGCAAGCAAATGCAATTTACATTTTTGGAGTATCAATAATAAAAGGCAAAAATGGAGGCAGCTATCCAAAAGGTTTGAAAAAATTCCTTTTTGGAAGGAAACAGTTCTGCCTTAGTTTTGTAGCTGTTGCAGCCTTCTATTTCCCTGACAGATCTCACATAAAATCATACCTCTTCTTTCATCTTCTTTTCTTCCTGCTTCAGTTTGCGCTTTATTTCCTCCAAAGCGGCTTTCCTCCTCTCAACCTTACGTTTGTGAAACCCTGTCAAGAAGTCCCTGGAAAAAATAAGCATAGTAGGCAGCAATATGTTAGGATTACCCTTCTGCCTATGGAATCAATATTCTACAAATAAGTTATCCTGCATGATCAGAAGGCAAATACATACAAAATGTTTACCTACATTCAAAAGCATAAAACGATTTGCCCATATTAAACATTCCCATGTAGATATCCCACGATGTAGTCATGATGCAGATCAGACTGGCTCCTGCAATACATTCCTTAAGAATCCAATTCATTTGTACAGGAAGAAAAATGGCAGAACAGATTGGATAACCATAAAGTATGGAAGCTAAGATTTTTTTAAGCCTCTCAGGGAGTAATACAGGTAGCCCTTAACAATTGCAATTAGGACCCGCAACTCCTTTGCTAAGGGATATGACTACCCGTTATCACAAGACTATGCCAGATTTATGTCACTTCCACTGCAGGCATAAAGTGAATCATCCAAGCATGACATCATATGACTGACCCCGCTAGCTTCTCCATTGATTCTGCTTGTTGGAAGCAAGTGTTTGGTTTTTAAGAAGAGCCTGAACCGTTGCTTGTCTGAAATGGCATAGGGTCTCCTGCTTGAGCAGGGGGTTGGACTAGAAGACCCCCAAAGTCCCTTCCAGCTGTATTCTGGTTGATTGAAACCAGCTGTGAAGTTCACAAATGGTCATCCCATGACTGTGGGATGCTAGGACAGTTGTGTGAGGACCAGTCATAAAACTACTTTTTTCAGCACTTATATAGCGAAGCACTCATTAAATCTGGCAGTTGTTAACTGAGAACTTTTTATAATTCTGAATGTCCAGGTAGCCTTGTGTGATTCTGTTCCCATAAGTGAGCTAGCTTTTTTGGAAATGTAACTGTTGCCCATTACTTGCCATTTTATGTTAGCTTGTCTACACAATAGAGACAGAACGATAAGCAGACTTTCTTGCTCCATATTTCACTTCTCTATTTGCCTATTAAGCTGGAAAAAATCCATGTATGTTCTACTTGGCAGCACAAAGAAAACATTAACCCAGATAACTATCTGAAGCATATCTGGATATCTATAGCTCAGATACGTCCCTAAGCAAGAAGGAGGAGGAGGCAAAGACCAAGGGAGTAAGGAAGTAACTGTGAATATCAACCTCAAGAGAAAAAATTTGGATCTCACTCTTTGAAGAGCTGGTTAAGTATTTTGTGGATTGTTTCTAAACTATGACACCCTTCATTTAGTTGATATTTCCCAGATGAAGAGGAGAGTGACTCCCATCACCCTCAGCCAGCATTAACCAGCTATTGAACAGATTCTGTAATTCAAATAGTCTGGAATGGGAAGTTGGGGAAAATCTATTTTGAACAGAATTCAGAAATTCTAACAAGTTGCCTTTTTTATAAATACAGGTAGTCCTTGACTTACAACCATTTATTTAGTGACGGTTCAAAGTTATAACAGCATTGAAAAAAGTGACATTTGGCCATTTTTCATACTTATCACATAATCTTCCCCATGATCATGTTATCAGAATTCAGATGTTTGGCAACTGGTTCATACTTATGTCCATTTCTGTTCCCCAAGGTCCTCTAATCACCCGTTGCAACCTTTTGACAAGCAAAATCAATGGGGAAGCCCGATTCATTTAACAACCATGTTACCAACTTATCAATTGCAGTGATTCACATCACAGCTGTGGCAAGAAGTTGTAAAATGGTGCAAAATTCACTTAACAAATGTCTCTCTTAACAACAGAAATGTTGGGCTCAATTGTAATCGCAAGTCGAGAACTACTTGTGAATTTATACATGCAGTTGCACGTGTATACTAAAATCTACTAAGATAAAGCAGCGCTTTTTCACACTTGGCCACTGGGTGGGAATTCTGGGAGTTGAAGTCCACTCATCTTAATGTGACTCAGTTTGAAAAATATTATACACTAAACCTAAAACAACACGTGTCTGCATCTTGGGAGCAAGCATTCTGCTCAGCGTTAACTCTTCTCTCGCTATGCAAAGAGCCTCCCGGTAAATCCTTTCCATGCAGGGGGCTTCCGCGGGAGGGATCTGCAGTGCACATCGCCCAGCCAAAGGCTAGGCAGCGGTAGACCTATTCGCCCTGCTCCTTCCTCCTCTCCCGCACTCACCGTCGACTCTTCTCATCGAAAGAGACGACTTTCCGGAGCACCGCAGTCCCATCGCGCCCCTCTTTCTTCTTCTTGCGGCCCATGCCGACGATGACTTCTTCCGATTCTGCCGGCAGAAGAACAAACCAGCGCGCCGCCTCTTCCGTCCCGCCGTCGCGTCCTCCGTGAGTCTTTGCAGGAAGCTCCGCCTCTGCTCTCACTTTAATCAATCATTTTTTAAATACTTGTTATATATATTACCAAGGTCTTTTTTTTAAAGCCATGCAATCGTTATACAACTTTTGAGACTGCCCTGCAGTATCCACACTCGAAATATTTTGGGGGCCAGGAACCTAAATGCGGCTGCCTCCCGGAGACAAGTCTGTTTCTCCAATTCTTTCGCATGCTTCTAGTTAGCCAAAAAATGAGCAATATGATCATATGGATAGGGAAGGCTGTGTTGGCATGGGTAGCTTCAAATATACGCTAAATCATACTATGATTGTGGTTTAGTTTTGTATGAGCCCGGTGTGGTTTGCAACCTATGATTTAAACGTGTGCTTCCATTTCTTTTAATAAATCATGATGGAGCAAATTGGGTTAGGATGATGGGGAGGGGATGGGGATGGGGGGCATCTATATCTCAGTCTCTGTCATCTGAAGTTTTAAGTTTCAGTTTCTGTGGAACATATGGGTAGCTTGCACTTTTAAATGGTTTCCTGCATCTTTCATTTTATATCTTCTTCAGTATTTGCTTGTGAAACTGCTCTCTAAAGTTCACTCACTGGTACAAGCCACAATACTGATCTTGTACTTTTCTTATGGAAAAGAATAACAGAGTAACTGCATAAATAAGCAGTAAACAGGCTCCCTGGGGGAAGGCAGCAGGTAGATTGGGATCCAGCAATAATACTTAGACGTTAAGCAGTTTACAGAGTCAGCAGCAATTGTTCCTGTTGGCATCCTATATATCATCTCTCCTTTGCAAGCTGCATTGGTTACCAGTTGGGTTCTAAATACAATTCAGTGTTCTGGTTATTACCTATAAAGCCCTTATAGTATATTCAGAGGCCTGGAGATCTGGACCCTTTATCTCCAATTGTTTCTGCCAACCTGGTTTCTTCTGACAGACTGGGTGTGTTGCAGTAGCCTTTGTTAAAGATTGTCATCCTGTGAAACTGAGAAAGCATGCCTCCTCTGTCACAACCCATACACTCTAGAACAGCTTCCTTGCAAAGGTAAAGATGGGCCCCTCTCTGTAGAATTCAATAAAACCTTGAAAACCTGGTTGATTTCAGGCCTGAGTTTAATGTAGTTTTGCTTGGGGGGTGGGGAGCTAAGGTGGTTGTTTTTAAATTATTTGTATCACTTTGAAATCATTTTAGTCCAAATTCTATGGTTTTATGTACCTGTTTTCATAAATTTTGTCTTGATTTGTACATTGCCCAGAGTCTTTCAGAATTATAATACAATTAAATGAATAGCTAAAGCTATAAAAAGGATCCTTTTCTAAATTAATTTGCCAGATACTATTGATCGTTGCATTGTACAATCTTGGGATGTAATGGATAGTCCGATTTACCTTCTGAACCACAATTTGTTTCCAGCTAAATCCAACCTCTAATTTTAAAAAAATCTCCAAATGCGATTCATGCCAATTGGTGACTGATTATAAATACTTTGAACTTATTAAACAAGCGGGGAAGTTACACCCCTATTGTTAATCACAGAGCAGTTTGCAAAGTGCTTAAACGTATGAGCTTGTCCTTTAGCCCCTTCTGAGATGGAAAATCCGGTTCTGTGGTTAATAGCTGTACTTCCCTTTAAGTTTACACCCACAGGGTTGGTCTTCTGAACTACAGCGTGTGCCTGTCACTTGAGCCTATCTAACACCCTTCAGCCTGAACTTGCTTTGGATTACAAAATCAGTCTATCCTTCAGGTTTTGCTCCGCAGGAACACTGACTGTTGTTTTCCTGCCACTCTTCCCTTGCAAAAAAGAAAAGAAAGGAAAACCTACCTCTACATAAGTCCAGTCTCCTATACATGTGGAGGAGAGGGGAAAAAGTCCCCGGAGAGTTAAAAAGCAACTGAGAAAAATGGCTGCAGAAGATGAGAGGAATAAAAACCTCCTCCAGGAAGTTTGGAAGAAAAAAGAAAATGCCATGTGTGCAGATTGCGGGCAGCCGGGTAAATAAAGGGGGAAATGGTGGTAGTAGGAGAAATGAATAACTAGCAAAGATAGCTCTTGAAAACAGCAATTGCAGTAACTTAGAAGAAATTCAGATGGCAAAATTATGCCTGGCATTTAGGGCAAGGAAGAGATAGTTAATATTATACAATTTTTTAAATATATCATGGAATACTGTGTATGCTATATATTGTACGTTAAATATTTTGTTCTACTAAGGATTAAGAATTCTATAACTCTGCAGACTGCAGTAGCCATCTAACACCGGAATGTGCTTGCTGTTGTTTCTGTGACTTTCCATTCAGTGATAAGAATCTATGGCAATCCCGATGTTGCTGAACATGGCCGTCATGATTGACCATGCTTCCGATGGGTGGTGGGATTTGAAGTTCAGCATCTGGGAGTAGTTAGGAGGAAAGATTGCTTCCACCACCAAAGAGTAAGAGTGAATTCCTTGGAAGATAGAAATGAAGAATTGTAGCACTACTGTATGGAGAATTATGGAAGGACCAGGAAAGCATGAACTCACTGGACTTTTATTTAAGAGAAGGACTACCATTCAGGTAGAGACAAATATGTGAAGTATCCAGTTTTTTTGAGGTATTGGAGAAAAAGACTGGTTTACTGGGAAAAACCTTTTCCCCCCCAAATACAGGAAATTGATATAATTAAAAAAACCTTAAGCATTGATTTGTTGGGGGCTGTATCCTGCAGATGGCATGTACATTTGAGGTTTAACAAACCACTTGGGCTGCAGGGCTGGGTGGACCTTTGGCTTGGAACTGATGCAGGCCACATAATAAAACAATGGGATATTATGTAATAAAATCTTTTGCATAAGGTATTTTTTGACCTTCAATATAAACAGAAACAGCAGCGCACCGCTTTTTAATCCTATTTGCATTGTTTACAGCTTGGGTAATCTAGATCAGAAAGGACAGAAATGCCTTTGATAGGACATGGAGTTAAACCCTTTCCCCAATTCTCTGATATCACCATATTTTTGCCAGGCCCTTATGGGAGTTCCTGCAAAGTGCTAGGATGTTGATCTGGGATTTTGATTTATATTAAAAATATTTGCAGAGGCTCGCCTCCTAAGGGGGGTGGGTGGTTTAGAGGATTTATATTTTTATTTTGGATGGCACAATCTCACCCTTAAAAGTACCCCAAAATAGAACAGAAAAGGAGTTTAAAAAATTCTGCCCTATTCCTTTTATGATATCACAGTATTGTGGGGCCTATACACCTCCAAGCAGGACTCTGAAAAAGGCACCATGTCAGTTCTGGGCTGATAAATAACTGCGAGACATTAGGTTGAAGAAAGGTGTTGCAAGTCACAGTGACATATGAACAACAAACAGCAGTGATAATTAACTGATGGGTATTTGGACCTTAAGGAACTTAGGCTCCCTACAATTTATTGGGCTGAACGTCACAACAATCAGTCCATAGCCACTGATATTGTTTGATTCTGTTCAGATCCTTGCTGGGTCTCCTGTACTTTGGGTACTTTCATCTGTTGTGAGTGCTCAGAAATACACTACAAGATCCCTAACATAAGTGAAGTTAAATCAATAAAGAAGAGTTGCTGGGAGGAAAGCCAGATACAGGTGAGTACTATCCTGAGAAGTTTCTTGGCCTGCTATTAGTTTTGGTCATGGCACCGTCTTTTCTCTTAGATGCTTTGAAAGAAGCAGATGGCAAGAGAGGGAAAATTAAATTATGTCATAAGGTGCAGCAGCAGGGAAGGAATTATATACCCTGATTTTAGACAAAGAACAAACTATAAATTTTCAGTTCAGCTTTAACTGCAGCAACTGAAGTCCTTTTATCCACAAAGTCAGATATTTCTCAGATGTGGCTGTATCAGTGGTGGGTTTCAAAAATTGTGGGTGTGGCCTCCTTTGTGGGAGTGACTTGCCACCCATGTGACTGGATGGGAGTGGCTTGCTGCCCATGTGACCGGATGGGAG